TTTGAATCGGAACACCGACGCCCACGGTCGCGACGTGAAAATACATCGACGCATGCTTTTTTCGCGTGTTGCTGCTCGGCTCAAGAATATTTTCACGCTTGGTAACCGGTTGTTTCCGAGTGGCCTTCGCCACTTCAAGGCAAAAGGGAATGCAATAGCTACGAGCAAAGATAAGGATGTGACGATTAATCCCGCAAGATTCGATGTCGAGGTAGACTTGTTCGTTATTTAGCTTGATAAATGTAAACTTGCTGGGTGTCTTTTACAATTGAGATCTTTGAGAATTGAGATTCGATGTCGAGGTAGACTTGTTCGTTATTTAGCTTGATAAATGTATAAACCTGGATGTCTTTTAGAATCGAGATCTTTTTCGGAACTGTGAGATAGTCACGTAGAAACTACAGTGATTAACAAGCTTGAAGAACATTAAAGTATTTGGGACGTGTATCGTAAAAAATCTTTGTATAGTGTAAAACGTCATGATCATAATGAAATTTGGAATCAATCTGGAAATGTAGATAAAAGTTGCAAAGTATTTATTCCAAACATTAATAAGAAAGTTAGTATAAATACTGAAGCCTTTATGAAATGTATAACTTTCTTGTAACTTCTATATACGTTTCTGGATTTCTTTCAAAGTTCACCAAAGTATCATGCAGTATTTGTTAAACAACTTACATTTCAAATTAATCATTGTTTCAGATCAACATAAATATTTTCCAATATTCGTAGCTGTTCAAAAGTACTTGGGAAGAAAAAAATCGAAAATTTCAAAGATAAAGTGGAGGAACTCCAATATCTATGGAGATTCGAGAATAGTTATTCAAGAAATGATAAATGGAGTGGATCAGATTCGGTCCAATAATTTCCCAGATTCCTATCTCATGTCTGGATACTTCCGATAGAAAGTATCTAGGTAAATTAGAAGCAGGCGGCATTAGGTAATCGTGGCGAATGTTACGAAAGGTTTCCTTGCGACCTGGTAATGCAACTCGTTGATGGAACTGGACTGACTTCAGTTGGGTGAAAGTGATGGTCAGTCTGGAACGTCGTAAAGATCTCATTTGGACGCTTTAATCGGGTCACGGAGGTTAAAGTCTTAAGTTCCTTAACGACTTGTCCCATAAAAGTCGGAGCATTGTTTCTGGAATTTTCCTTCCTTCACTCTAGAGGACATTCACATAAATTGCCCCTTTCATTAATTTCCGTAATAGAGTTTAATAAAGGAAGATTTTATTATCGATGTTGCAAACGAATAATCTGAAAGAGTAATTCAATGAATTAGTAAGATCAGAAGTGCCATTTGAACATAAACCTTGACCGTCCAGCTGCTAGAATTTCCTACGTCATGGTACACGTACGTTGAAAATTTACAATGATCATTCTGTTTACCATCGTATTTTGACGTTGATAATTTCCTGTTCTTCTATCGAAGCGTCATGAGCTATTGAGTTCCACGTCGTCCGACCAGCCATCGAATTATCTGCGCAAGATTTATCGTTTTATTTCAGTGCGCAGAGCCGCCAGATCCGCCTACAAGAAATCTCCTTATCGGTCGGTACCACCCACGGCTCAGCTTCTCTTCGTTCGTGTCGTCTTACGCCTCGTCAGAAACATTGAAAGTATTCTTTCCGAATGCAAAAATGGAAGAAGAAAGGAAAAAATAGAATGGGGGGGGGGGGAAAATAGTCGGAAACGCTTTTTGAGAGATAGATCAGCAATTAACCGCATTAATTGTAGATGAACGAGATCTCCTGGCATGAGGAGTTTAATTGAACTGAAATTATCAGACGATCGTGCAGTCTTCAAACAATTTCCGGATGAATTTACCCTGTCTGAATGATTAAAGTTGGAAGTTATAAATCAACCGTCTGGCGCCTAAAGTCGATAGACGAGAGAAGTTAAATTACCAAAGAGATGCTTCCTATTTCATTCTTTTGTTTTCTCTTTCTTTCTCTTTCCTTATTTCGCTTTATCATACGTTATTCTTTTATACACAGTGACTAACGAAATACTTGAGCAGTGTATATTATATACAGAGCATTTTTTGAAATTTCATTAATACTGGAGAACGAGATACTAAAGCAATTTGGAAATGTATGTAAAGTCCCAAGATACTTAATGCTAATATATACTTGTCAAGAAATAAGTATATAGTGTACAGTGTTGTGAATGAGAGAAATATCAAGGCTTGCTATTACAATGGTAAATAATTTTATGAGATGTATGTTTGCAAAGAGATATCTTGTAACTTTTCTTACATTTCGTCAGTATCATCATGACAATCTAATCTAATTGTATGACATTCAATTGTTTTAAACTTTTCCAATATAATTACGATAGCCATATTATATTGTACATTGTGCAAACGTCATTGATATAATCACGATAACTCCTATCGCGTGTAATTCTCATGTTCAAGAGAAGTTTCCATGGGGAACTATTCAATTACTTTCGTGAGTCACTCTTACGATACAGGGTAATCGTTAACGTTTCCGTATATCATTACCATCGCGAAGTACATACTATTGACACGGAATGTCTCTGCACTTTCCGCAAACTTCCTGCCCGGATATCTGGTCGGCCTCGCCCATCCCAGGATTTCAAGCTCTGACACTGGCTCGGTCGCTTTTAAAGCGAGCTACGTCAACACAAGTATCCTTAACACGATAACCTTTTGCTCGAGCAACCCGATGATAACTAAAAGTAGAACGTTGTACCAGCTACATCGTTCAGCGTCAACGATCCGGTTAAATGCAGACTGCTCGAACATTTTATCGAGCGATGCCAGCGAAACGGCTTGCCCCGATTTTTACTTTTAAAGAGCGGTCCACGAATCTGCTGCTTCGTTGGTGGAGAGATTTTCAAAGCATTAGGGAGAGAATGTATGGTCGGATCGAATGATCGGCAAAGGAAAGATTCTCCTATATAATCCCGATAGTTTTTTTCAGCGTGCAAAACGTTGTCTTTATAAATAATTGTGGTTCATCTGCATTTAGATTGATATACCGATATCGTTGAAAGATTTCTTCAAAGATTCTTTGGAAGATAAAAAAAAATATATTAATAACATAACCGATAAATACAATCGCTCTTTTGCAGATAAGTGTCGTTCAAAGCTGCTCGATTCTGTCGAACAAACGTGACAAGATTATCTGAGGGAATTGGTATAGTATTGCGAAATCTCGAAATAGTTTTACTTACAATTAAGAGCATTAAATTGAGAAAAAGAAAGATCTCATTCTCGACTCATCGTGAACGATCTGGAACAATTTTTATCATCTTAAGAAATCACGTATTTGATAGTATCAATTTGATTATACCCAATTGTTAATCATCTTACGTAACATACGTAATTGTCGAGAAAATTCCACACTATCGTTTGCTGTGATTAGGTTCCATTTTAGAGACTGACTCGAAAGATGATCGAATCAAAAAAGAAAAAGGCCCTGTTATTCCTCTTATCTAAAAGCTGGTGCTAGCTTCCTTAGGAAAAATGAAAGAAATAAAAAATGATCGAATTCTCGTTCGGAATCCCTCGGCTTTTCGCGGGGAAACTTCCAGTTGACACGTGGAACAGCGAGCAATTGCGATGATGTTACGTCTTCTGTTCGCAGGATGGTATTGGACCCCAAGGTTACGAGTCTGCATAGTGATTACGGAAGCTTCGATCGACCATTGGGCGCCGGAGAGGGCCACGAGAGAGACGTCGAAGCGGCGGTTGATGGAAGTAGCAACGGGATGGCACAGTCGAGTGACGTTTACCAACGGCAGCCGTTATTACCTGGTGCACCAACCAAGGGCAAGGATAAATGGTCTGGGGTGGCATCCGGCTCCGACTATTACGTGGACGACGAGGACGAGAAGATAGACAGTCTTCGTCGGCATCCTGGCATCCCAAATGGCTCTGGGAACGGTGTCGTTAAGCTCGACATACCTGCGCCTCTTCGGGAAGAGCCTCGTTTCCCTAAAGAGAAATGGAAAACGTTTCTTGGTAAGGATAAAGCCAAGACCTTTCCTCTACTTTCTATTTACATAGTCTGCTACACGTGTTGCTACATGTGTCTCGAGGTATAATATCCTTTCGAGAGAGAAGATCGTCCTTCTTTGAGGACTGTCGCTCACAATGGCCCCAGATGTGTCGAGATATTCTTCGTAACGGCTAAGAAGAAAACAACTATGCCGAGAAGATTTGCTAACTTGGAAGATGGAATTTGGAAAGTTTCTGATTTTTATGGCCGCTATGAAACTGCAAGTTTTTTTTTTTTTTTTTTTTTTTTTTACGGAATTGTGCGAGGAAAAAGCCGTCGTTGTACTGCAGACCAACGTTCGATCTTGCGATATTTGTCTCTTTTGATTAGATATCTATTGCAGGACTGATAAGAATTTCCCAAGCAAGATACAGTGGCGTGGACGAGTTACGTAAAAAGGAGAACTTGTCCGAGAAAAACTTCTCTTGTAACTTCGGCGGCAATGAACTTTCTTCAGGATTGAGCTTTCCTCGCGTGTACTAGGTCAGGCATTTCGATGCAGTTCCTACTCGGAGGTTGATTTCATACAGAGTCGTGCTCGATCATGCGTTCTTGAGTGATGAATCCGAAACGGTGCAGTTATCATCACTGGCTACCGCCAGTACCCGTTAGATTCGTTCTGTTTTTGAACTAGATCATTTCTTGTGTCATTGGTGACGAGAAAACGTGTTTCGTCTCATCCGTTATCGACATTAATTTATTTAATACAAATATTATATTAATTTATTTCGTATAAAATATTTCAAGTTTTTATGTAGAATTAAACAAGCTTTGCTTATTACAAAAACATACACATCATGTACGCGGAGAAAGTATGTTTAATTTGAGAAATGGTTATTAGATGTTATTTAATGTATCACCTGTTATGTTAATGAATGACGCAGATCCATTTCGTCATTGTTGTTCTTTGACATTGCCGAGAGATTAAATTGCTGAGAAACTAAACGGTAGGCTGTTTCATGAATGTTTGCGGATGTAGAAACGGTTTGAGGGTGGACTTTGAGAAGCTTTTCCCTTGTTGGTAGAGCAGCCAGAGCAGCAGCTGAATTTTTGGCATTGTGCCATTTCCTGCGAATGTGTATTACCAGGTTTCGCGTCGCAATTTTTGATTAATATACACTGTGTACCAAGACCACGTGGTCTTTGAAATAATATTGTAATTAGTGAATTCTTATGATGATAGAAGATTTGTTTGTTTTCTTCTTGATAAATTAAAACGATGAGTTCAACAATTTGGCACGAGGACATATTTCTAATAATATTGAATTTAATTTTCAACGGATAGAAATTTTTCATAATGAAATCCGGTTTTATAAAAGAGTATTACGCTCTCTTGTGATCAAATAAAATGATAAGCTCAATAATCCATAAAGAGTAAATCATTACTCTAGAAAGGAGAGTATTTTCCCTTTTCAAAATTAATTTTGAAATTGATTTCGGAATTATTTCTAAGAAAAGGGAAATGTACAAATTTTGCAAGTTTTTGATGACACTCAGTATATGGTGTGTACTGCTAGGCATTCCTTTACTTTTGAAGCATATTGTTGTCTGCCGTATCAAAGCAGAAAAGAGTATTCTTCAGGAAAGCGGTAGGCAGAGAGAGAGTTGCCGGTTAGAAATTTCGATACAAAGGAAGCATAGCTGCAAAGTGGAGTTAGCTGTACGTTCACCGACAGAGAAAAGGATAAAGTGCAGCACGATGACTGTTACTTCTGTGTTTTATATTGTACGCGCGAGTATTCGAGTAACTGTGGTAACCCGCATGCTTGAATCACTAGTTTATTTTCAACAGATTAATGTATGTATATATACATATACATATACATATGCTGGCTACCATTGTTTGGGTCCAAACGATATATTGTTCGACTACCTGGAATTTTAATGCGTCAATGATCGATTGCCGATAGGAAGAAGAAGAAATATGCAATTGACACACTATTATAGATCATAAAACTGTTTTTATGATTAGTGGTATTATCTTTATATTTCCTTAAATTCTAAGGTTGAGAAAATTCTTTGAATTCGATTCGTTACTTAGAAATTTGGAACCTTTTGTTCTAATGAAAATGTAATTCATGTTACAGCATTTCTATTCATGGTCGTAAACTTCATATTGACCACTGCGTCCCTTGCAATGGTGCACGAACGGGTCCCTGATCGAAACACATACGGACCGCTACCGGATATAGTGTTGGACAATGTTGCCGCCCAGGATTGGGCCCTTAACGTGTCGGAAGTCTTAATTATGATAATGTCCAACTCAGCAATGGTTTTTATTATTTTCCATAAGCATAGGTGTGTACTGTACACGAACGTCGGTAAAAATCGTTACATGTAAATTGTAACTTTTGCTTGACAAGCTTGGATCAGAAGTAGAACACAAGTAACTTTAGTATTAATATACTGTAATAGTTTCAAGATAATTACCCCGTTTAATTCTACTTTAAATAAATTTTGAAGACGTATTTTCTTAATCTTACGTCGAACAAAAAGTTTAAGGTTCTTGAACTTTTAGATATTATCATAGGAGTACGGTATTTTTAAGATTGTTTTTGTTGTACAAAATTTTACGATTGATTCTTCTAGGTTTATTGTTGTTAGGAGAATATTTCTTTTGATGGGACTGCTGTATATGATGAGGAGTATCACAATGTACGTGACGGTACTGCCTGTTGCCAGCAAAACGTATTTCTGCAGCCCTAAAGCAAACAACACTAGTCCCCTCCTCGTTACGAAGAGGGTTTTGCAGCTCATTTCAGGCTTCGGCTTGTCTATAAACGGCAAGCACACTTATTGTGGGGATTACATTTACAGCGGCCATACAGTCGTGCTTGTACTTAGTTATTTGATTATAAAGGAGTGTAAGTATTTTTCCTATGATGTACAGACGTATGTTTTGTTAATGTGTGCTCAGTATTTATCTGGTCAATGTTAATGTATGATCAAATATCAAACATTTAACAAAAAAGGAATGTTTCAGATTCTCCAAAAAGATTTCAACCTATTCATTGGCTTGCTGGAATTGCTGTTCTTACTGGGGTAACTATGGTCTTGGTAGCTCACGGACATTATACCGTGGATGTTCTCATAGCATACTACGTAACTACACGCTTATGGTATATTTATCATACGCTAGCTAATAATTCGCATCTTAAGGTAAGTTGTATTTTTTTGTTAGATATCTCTACATCTATTATCTGATTTTATGTTGTAAAAGATAAAAAATAAAGAAAAGAAAGGAAAACAAAGATAATGTATTTTGAAAATTGCAAAACACATTCAAATGTCTTTGCAGCAATACGAACCAAACAACTTTTTGGCCCGACTCTGGTGGTTCCCTATCTTTAAGTATTTCGAGAAAAACGTGGGAGGCACGGTGCCACGACAATACGACTGGCCTTTACCATGGCCTCGACGATTCCTTGCCAAGCACCCTAATCGGGACAGTTAATGTCCGTCTTTGATTTCATGATAGAGGCTGTCAAACAACGGAGTTACTTTGTTGTAATTTGTGTATGTATATAAACATATATGTATACGTATCTAGGCATACAAAAATGTGAAGATATATTAGAAAGTGGTGCGAAAGATGTGTGTGAGTTTTCATCTTTGTCGACGAGTACATTCGACCTTTTGGGATTTGACGAAAACTTGCGGTGTTCAGTTCTTCAAGCAAAAAATATATTCGACAACAACAAAGAAAAAAAAAAAAAAACTGTAAAATATGAACGATAGTGAAAACAAATGCTTGTACTGTCATGTTCGTTATCGTCCAATCGCGAGATCTATTTTTTTTTTGATTTTGATACGACTTATATATACATTGTAAGAGGCTAGATAAACGATAGAAATATTTAGTCTCATGACGAATTCATGTAGAGAAGGAGGTATTCGAGAGTTACCAACAAATTAGTGTATAAAATAAAATGCTAGATATCTCTATTTTCAGATACTCCGATGTGAAATACTTAGATGTAAAAAAAAAAAGAGGAAGGAAGAAGGAAAGAAAGAACTCACGCTACCATAATTCGGTCAAGCGTGATAAATATGAAACTGTCTTGTTGAACGTAGCATTAACAAGCAAGAGGCGAATTTTTTTATAAACAACGATACATATTGGAAAATTAAAAAAAAAAAAGAAATGGGAGAAAGCAAACATTACTTGAATAAAAAAATAAAGAAAAAAAATAAAAAAAGAACGGAAATTTCGTTTGCCGCGAGACCTCTGACTAATCCGTTCGGAATGCATTCTAATCTTTCGATTTCCTAACAATCAAGACGATGTTCTTTATACTTACATTATATGGCGGCATGCCTTATTCCGATGAAAGTCAACTGAATGAATCGCAATCTCCGAATTTGTTAATCGGTCAATTATAGTTCGTTTTCTATATTCAAGTCTTTCGTGTCGTAGAAAACTTTCCCTCGAAATTGAAACTTCTTTTTAAAGGAGTATTGTTTTTATTGCAGGAGTAGTTAGTGAATGATTGGCATAGTTTTCAAATTTAACTGATGATTGTGCAATTTCGTGGGACCAAATGTAGAGAGACAGTCGGAAAACAATACTTTTCGAGTAGCGGTTGAGAACATAATTTCTTTCGTGGTGACAATAGAAGGCATAACTGGAATAGGAATTTAATAGTTTTCGAACGTTCATGCGCTATTTTCTAAGCTATGATTTTTCGCGTCTTAGTCGACGCGTTGGCATCGCAATGTGTTCCCGTTCGAGATCGATGAAATTTCTTGTCTATGATCAATGCGATTAAAGTCGAGCGTTATTGCGTGTACATATCAATGAAATTCATAATTTCTCGGAATAAGGTCGTCTTTACAGTCTACACACACCAGATGTTGTCACGCATACATGAAGATATGAAGATGTCTGAATCGTGCAAAAAAAATTCGTGTTGTCGCTGATGAAGCCTCAATAACAAGGAATGCAACAAAATGAAATCTAACAAAGGTGATCATTAATAATTCATTCTTTGTACGATTTCATTCTGTCATCTTTTACTATTTCATAAACTTTCAATAATAATTCCTCGCGATTCTTGCCCTGCTCTATTTGTCGGAGCATTCTTCAGTTTTATCGTTGTTTTTCTTTGGTATAGATAGCACAAAAACGCTTGGAATTTTTACTAAGCCATGCAAAGGAAGTATGTTTCAGTGAGTCTTAATTATTACTTGTATAAGGGATGAAAACAATACTTGAATGACAGATCTGAAATTATTCTTCGTTGCGATTGAAAGCGTTAAACCTGCGAAATCTATAAATAGTTTTAAGTGACATTGCCGGTGATTTGTCTTCTGCACACACGATTTATTGTTAATGTCCGTGCAAAGTTCTCGTTATCTGTTGTCTGAATTGTCTATGCTCGAGCAACGCACGTTCATATTTCGAAGTGGATGCGAATAATCACATGTACGGCCGATGATCTTGTTTCTTCTTTCAAAATTCTTTTTCTGTTTCAACGCGCGCGCGGTCGAGCGAATCTGATAGTCGACCGACGAGAAGAAGAAGAAGAATAAAAGAGAGAAAAGAGACACTTTTGCGACAGAATAAAAAAAGAATAGTCATAGTGGGACGAATTGAATAGAATTTATTGGCCCTTATTGCGTGTAATTAAGTCTTTTTCCGTCTGTGATGATAAACGAAGAAAAAAAAAAAGACACGAGTCGTCGTTACGCGAGTTCTCGATCGTGGAACGAGGCATATTCGTGAAGCGATTCGCATAACGCGTGCCCATTGCGGTCATTGATATTTTTTCTTAACCCTCTATAGTCCACTTTCCTAATTTAAATTAAACTTAACAAATCTTCCGGTTCTCTAAGTCGTTTTAATTAACGAATTTGGTGCTTCTTAAAATTATAGCTGACGAACTGATGTTGATGATACACAATGGACTGTAGAGGATTAAAACGCTCGTATAGATGCGTTTCTCGATATACATATATATTTTAATAAAATTAAATGTGGTTCGTAGTAATATTTTTAAGTGACGTAACAATTTCGACGATGTTATTAAAGGCGAAAACCAACAGTAAAAAGAAAAAAAAAACAAGAATAAAAAAAGAAAAAATATAGAAATTTAGACATACATATATATATTTTTGAACGTGTGCATAGGTATACATTGATCATCGCATATGCGAACTATGCCCGTCACATTTATATATGTTTGCCATGTATCTCGTCGTTGTTCTTTTTTGGGCGGACATGCTTGGGAACCAATGTACAGATAATACGTGGATGAAGCTTGCGTAAATCAGAAATACCACGAATTTGTAAGATTATTTGGTAAAAGTAATGTCGGTCCAAGTTAGAGCAGTAGAGTCACGATCTGCCAGAAAGATATTAATAAGCGCAACCGAATTAGCCAAAAAGAAAAAAAAAAAAAAAAAAACTAAACGAGCCATCGAATATATTATGCGCGTTATAATGTGCTCCATGATGCACATGTTAATAGATGCGTTTATACGTGTGTAAGCTCGCGCGAAGAGCTGTATGATGTTACACGCACACATGACGAATGGAAAAATGTAAGAAAAACAAAATATATATATATATATATATATATATTCTTCCTACGTGAACGGAAGGGAGTTGGGATAATTATAGAAAAAATTTAAATTGTCGTATCGAAAGGAAGAAAAATAAAAGAGAAAGCAAAAATAAAAAGAAGATATAAAAATATAAAAAAAAAACATGATATGCATGTATGCGTGCGCGCGCGCGAGAGAGAGAGACATACTGTGTATGTTTATTTAATATGTATATACATACATACATACATACATACACATACATACATACATATTTATATGTATATATATATATGTATATATATATATACACATCTATATTTTTACTGTGTAGATATTTTTTGGTAACTTGTTACAATAATCCTACTAGATTAGTTAAGCGTATACATATATATGTATATATTATATATATATAAAATTATATATTATATATTTTATATATATATATATATATGTTGTAAATATAAAAAAAATAGCTGAAGAGAAAAGAAAGCTTTTGCCCATAAATTGCGATCTGACTATTTCGATCGAAACTAAAACAAATCAAAATAATACTTTCGTTCATCGTTCAACAGAAATATTTCTGATTACGATTGTAAGCTTTGATGACTCACGAATTTATTCGTGTTTTTTTCTCTGCTCTGTGCCTGTCGATACGATCATATTCTATCCGCAATTAATCAACGATTATGGCTGACATATGCGCGTACAATTTTGGTTTTCATTGATGATCCATAGGTCACATGTATATAAGGAAAAAAATATATATAAATATTATTACTATTATTATAATTATTATAATTATTATTAATTTTATTATTATTATTATTATATTATTATTATTATTATATTATTATTATATTATTATTATTATTATTATTATTATTATTATTATTATTAT